TTCACGTCGCAAATTCAGTCGGGATCTCTGCCCGTCGGAGCAGAGGGCTTGGTGCTGTCTTCTCGGGGAGAGAGGGCACGAACCCAGCCCGCTGCTTCTGCAAGCGGCCTTTACCTCGCAGCGTGGCAGCGACCATCTGCGGGGCTCCTGGGGGCTGGGGTGGGATGGGGGGCTCACGCCACGCCTGACCTCACAGTTGTGCAGCCAGAGGAGGCTTTTGTCCCACACTGTCATTGCCTCTTACGATGCCTCAAAATTTGGTTGGAATCCACCCTGTTGGGTTTATTTAAGGGCCAGCCCCTTGCAGATGCAACTCTGCTCCCCCTGCGCAGAGCTGAGGGTACCTGACAGATCCTCTCCCCTTCCCCGCAGAGGTACGAGACCTCCTCGAAGATGGAGCAGTTCCTGACCCGCTTCCTGCTGCGGGAAACCATGCACCAGCTGCAGTCCCTGCAGGCCTCGCTCGAGTGTGCCGTGGACACCGTGGAGGAGCAGGCGGGACGGGAGAGGTAACACGGTGGGACGCGCTGGTCCTCCCCCTTCTCCCCAGCACCGCTCGGGAGGACTCAAGGGTCGCCCTGGGAGAGGCATCTGGGAGCAGAATCTGCCCTTTCCAAGCCCACCATGAAGCCAACCCACATAGTGAATGACTTCAACCCCTCCTTTTGCGTTTTATTCTTCCAGAAAGGACATAAAGAAGTCTGAGACCTCTGTTGGCCTGAGGTCGGGGAGACGATGTGGGCGCAGAGGACAGAAGAACGTCTGTCTGTCTCCGACGGACCCCTATTCCGGGATGCTGACGACAGGTCTCTGCAGCCTGCCGTCCCTCGCTGTCTGCCCCACTGGGGCCTGCGGTGGGCGTGGGAGCAGCACGGGGCAGCGGGGTCTTGTCCTGGACGAGCCTGGACCATTGCACCCAGATGACAGCTGGGGTGGTGTACCTCTTGAGCAGTGGGAAACCTTTCAGGAGAAAAACAAATCATTTCTTTTGGTGTAAATCAGAGGTTTAGAAGCTTTTGCAATGACAAAATCAAGCTTTTCCAGTGACATCTCTCTGCCCTTCCCTTTGCAGGTGTTTGTGTCGAGGACAACAGCCAGTGGATGGCACAGATCAACAGGCTCCAGCAGCTCATCGAGAAGCTGGAGTGCAAGGTGCGTGGCGGAGGGCAGGCGGGCTGGGGGCTGCCCCCCACCTCGGTGCAGGCCGGGCCGGGGCCGGGGCCCCCCCCGC